TTGAGAAATTCATATTTTGAAGTCTTGTTCATGTTACCAACCTCAAGTTGGTCCAACTTTTCCTTTAGTTTTTCCTGTAAACTTTAAGGTACTCTCTGTGATTGTCAAATTTGTGGGATAGCACCCTCCTTAAGCTGGAATATGATGAGTGCCTGGAAACTGTCCCAATCCTTCAAAAGCTGTCTGGTAGCCGGTTAAAACATCGTCCTTATCCTTAAAATTCAAACATATCGATGACACTCTCTTAATGAGTCCTAAAATTGGCAGTTCATGTTCGACATTCACTACAGCAAAATTCACATCTGCAGTTACACCTATAATTGTTTTACATTTTAATATCACAGACCTAGTGGTTTGATTTTGAATTTTTCATCTCCCCAGGCTGAGAGTACATAAGAACTACGTTTTACGTGTGTAATGTTCATTTTCCGCACATAACTAGCAGGTAAAATACTGATCTCTGCATCTGTATCTAGTTTAAATTTAACCTGTGTACCACCAACAGTCAAGTTTTCCATCCACGATTTTTCACTTTGACAGTGTCTTCAGAATTTCAAGTACACAGTTTAACAAGTTCATTGCCTATGACTGAAGAGAACAAGAAATTATTCCAGCGTTACACTGAAGAGGACCAAGAAACTGCTATTTAGAAGAGATACTGCAAAGAAGTTTGGCCAGAAAGGAAGCAATACACCCCTGATAGTACGCCACTATTGGAACCAAAGACATATGGTATCTGAAGAAGATGGTTTATTGTTTTTAAATCACAAACTGATTGTGCTACGACAGCTACGACAGGACATACTTCACCGAATCCATATCGCGCATGGAGAAATTGAAAAGTGCAAAGCTAGGGCTCGTCAGATACTTTATTGGCCACGAATGGCTACTGACATTGAAAGTTTTGTGGCTCGTTGCAGGATGTGTGAAAGGTTTTCCAGGAATAATGCAAAGGAAACCCTTATGCCGTATCCTATACCTACTAGGCCATGGGAGCGTATCGGATGTGACATATTTTCATATGGAGGAAATGTGTACTTAGTCATGATGGATGCTTACTCAAACTGGTTGGAGCTGGTTAAAATGCCATGTAAATCAGCAACACCTGTATAATATCAGCATGCAAAGACATCTTCAGTAGATTTGGCCCCCCTGATATAATGGTAGTGGATAATGTCCCTTACAACAGTGTCCAAATGAGGGAATTTGCCCATGAATGGAATTTTGAAATTGTGACACGCAGTCCAGGCTATGCACAATCTAAATGGGCTTGCTGAAAGGGCAGTTGGAATGGCCAAAGACTTGATTAGGATAATACAGTATGACAATAAGGATTTGAAAATGGCTTTATTGGAGCTTAGGAACATGCCCGTTAAGCATCTGGGATATTCTTCAGCTCAGCTGATGTTTCAACGCAGGTGTAAGACAACGATCCCTGTTACCGAGGAACTGCTGAAACCAACGCTGAATGATGGAGTACAAGACAGGTTAAAAACAAGACAACAGCTGCAGAAAAAATATTATGATTGGTCAGCCAAAGACTTAAGGGTTGTAAGAAATAACGAAATAGTTGTCTTCAGAAATGAAGGACGGTGGGAGCAGGGAAAGATTGTTAATCAAGGACCAACTCCAAGAAGTTACTGGGTAGAAGGTGATAACGGGGCTACATTAAGAAGAAATCGCCGCCATCTGAAACCATCACTCACTCAACTCAACAGAACAATTCCCAGTCAGTTCCAAGGCAAGACGAGCCAGTATAACTAAGACCTCGTAGAGAAATCAAGCTACCATCAAGATTTCAGAATACAATATAATGGTCTAAAAAGAAGGGAGAAGTTTGGTTGGTTATTATTGGTTATTGTTTTTAGTTAATTCTTTCAAATTAGTTTGCTGTTTTTTTTTAAGGGAAAAGATGTATTATAATGTTATATTCACATATTACCATATGATAATTGAGGTAAAATATATCAGTGATGTTTATGTTTTAGTCTGGAGTTTAATTGTAAATAAACTTCTGAACTTTATGTTAAAGCTTATAATTTTATTTATATTTTCTATCTAATTCGCTTAGCTATCTATATAATTAATACGCTACATGAAACTTTGTCGGTTGAACTCCTCTGCCATTTCTTAACCGATTTCATCCATTGACGTCTCATTGGAAAGAGCGTGTTGCGTAGATTTGCAAACTGGCCTTACATTTTTTTAAAGTCCCTTGGGTTCTGCCCCAGTGGCTTTGAAAGTTCCCATGTTATCCTTATGAAGAACATAATTGTTTACATTTTGATCAGCTGTATAATTTAATTGCTGTTATTTATTTTTCAATTCAATGAAACGCATTGAGTACATTTGTTTACTATTTGAGTTTGTGTAAACATAACCCCCAAGACGGATCGTGTTATTTTGGTTTTATCTTAAATTTGTGTATTTATGGTTGTTTTGTGTCGCTATGACAGATCGTGTTAGCATGATTCTAACTTAAATTTGTGCATTTATCGTTGTTTTCTGTACCTATAATTTGTTTATTTGTTGTTTTTTTCTTTTAAATGCCTCCGACGTGACGAAAACGAAACATAGACAGGAGGCGTAATCGTGATAACGACCGCAGCTACAGATCAGTGGCGCGTATTAGGCTTAACTCATCACAGTCAGCAGTCAGCACCTAACCCTGGACAATCGCAACTATTAGGTTACAAATGCGCCCTAACACCACCCCAAAACGACTTTTTGTTCTCAATTGGGGTCGCCAGAATTTTATCCCCCTGGAATTTTACCCCCTGGGCAAAACTGACGTCACTATGACGTAGTAACCTGAGTGGGCAAAAGTTTGTTCGCGGCTGGAATTTTACCCCCGCGGATTTGGAAGTCTAATGAAAATAGCCAGAGCGTGGTTAATTAGATTAGCGATAAATACCGGAATTTTACCCCCTGTCCATATAACTAGCGTTTAGACAACTGATGATGTACGGGCCAGATTTTTACCCCCGGAATTTTATCCCCGGACCGTTACCCCCGGATTTTTACCCCCCGGAATTTTACCCCCCGGAATTTTACCCCCTGGCCGATTTTACAAATTGAATGATTGATTTTCTTATTTCTGTTTTTAATTAATTGTAAACATTTCATTATTTAGTAGTGTATCTTTATTTATTCATTTTGTAATCTCAACTAAGTAAGCAGAATTCACTGTTTAATTTTGATGTTCGGGATTTGCGTTTGGGGCCAACTGTTGGTTAATAAGTATGTAAAATAAACTGAGTAGCTCATTTAAATAATAATTAGGTGAACTTTCTTTTCAAAGAAAAAATAAGGCATATTTTGTTATTGTTACAATACAAACGGAAAACATTGTTTTACCACGGTTGTATAATAAATGGTTAAAGAAATCTTTGAATCAATTATCATTCTGATGTTTGTTTATACGTCATATTAATCAACAGTTGGCTTCAAAGATCGAATCCTGATACTCGAATCTCAAAATTAAAATCAAAAACCTGTTCGATTAGTTGATGTTACAAATAAATTAAGATAGGCTACTTAATAATAAAATGTTTACTATTAAATTAAAACAGAATGAAGATAATTAATCATTATCACTAATTTCTATATCTGGTCAGGGGGTAAAAATCCGGGGGTAAAAATCCGGGGATAAAATTCTGGGGGGTAAAATTCCGCTACCCCTTCAATTGGCCCTCTATCAATGACCTGTGTTGCTTGTACAGCGAGGCATTTAGAGAAGGAGGAAACCGGCCGGAATGCTTTAGGTTTATCAATAACGGAGATAAACATGGTCTGAGTTACACACCGGTAATCTTTGAGTTGACTCTTTTAAACTCATTGTAAATATGACTGTTTTGAAATAACTCCTGTAATACATTGCAATTGCTCGAATTCGAGCAACATGTACGCTAGTTTCCAATAATCAATGACAAAATCACAGAGTATATAAACTAAACTCATAGATCTATAGAATATTTTTATTCAACCAGCTGCTAGTTATAACAAATTATATTGCACTAAAACAAACTAAATATTTAAAGATTGTTAAAAAATAAATTAGAACATCTAGTATTTTACTATGTATATTTAAATAAACTCTCATCCTCTTACCGAATAAATGAACGCATCAATGATTATAGCATTACACATAGTATAAATAATTAAATTCTACGTATAACATTTCATTTTCATCCAAATGCTGAATTTGTTTCGAAAACGCTGAATGTTTACAGCTATTACGTTAAGCAAATGGTATTATACCAAAAGCTAGAGTAGAATGTTAGCGTCGGCTGCTAGTCTTTTTAAAATTTAAAACTTAATTTCTAAAAAACTGAAACTCTAAACTAAAATGATGGCTTCGACATTCCCTAGTTCTCAAAATTATCTTTCTTTCAACACAAAAATCATGAAAATCCATCAAGTGATTGATTCAGAATCGTGAAATAAAAAAACCCTGTCATGTTTTAATATATAAGATTACTTGCATTCTCTTTTACTCATTGCATTACTCCCTTGAAATGTAAAGAGCTCATAATCTCTCTATTCAACAGATAAAGAAGAATAAGTTGACATTGGTTACATCAATGGTCAATTTATTTTCATCATATGGATTTTCTTTTTGCCCACACCATTCCCAAACCCAGTTAGGGCACTTTCTATAAAGAGTTATTTTATCCTTTTTTTATTTAAATTATTAAGGAAAAAATTTTCAAATACCACATACAACATAATAGAATAACATTTAAAGCTAGGCCTAGGCATGCGTGTTACGTGTTTTAAAATGTTTTTAATGTATGTAAATTATTTGTGGACTTTGACGACCTTCGGAAGAAGTGATAATGTCCTTGGAAAACCTGAAGATGGCTCCGTTATGAGCCGAAACTAGTTGTTTCACAACCACTTGGGATTGTCGACATTACAGGTATTCAAACCACTTTAATAGAATAAGACTATAACATAACCATCCTCAATCTTTAGACATGAAACCAGTTATTACCTACCTGACTACACCTCCCATAGATGTGTCCACGTCTGTCGCCATCACTGTGGTAACTTTGTGTCCCCCCGTCACATTTTCAGCCATGCTCACTATGTACTGAGGCTGCGCAAACACTGGAGCATTGTCATTCACATCCAGCACATACACTGTTACGTTCACTGAGGAAAATACAGCCTTGTTGCTCGGAGCCACTTCTTGAGCCACTATCTGCAATATTTTACGATTGTTACCAACGATTATAATTATTACCATTAAATCTATGCTTTTTTTTAAATATCTGTTTGTTGAGAAGGCACATTCTTAATTCAAACAGAGGCCCTCCCTAAAGCTGTGTAAGTTTTATTTTTTCCTTCGTCACGTCGGTCATCATAACGTACTTCTGTGCAAATGAATAACCCTCTAGCATAATTTTGATGAATTGGTCGCTGGGTTTCTGTTAAATCTGGAATTGCATGACATGCGGATGTCAGTTGTCTCAGCCTTATCTAACTGGTCTTAGCTAACTTAACACACTCAACCTTATCATCACGTCGGTCATCATACTGTACTTTTGTGCAAATGAATAACCCTCTAGCATAATTTTGATAAATTGGTCGCTGGGTTACTGTTAAATCTGGAATTGCATGACATGCGGATGTCAGTTGTCTCAGCCTTATCAATTACATAAATTTTTCAATATAATCTCTCTTCGTAGCAGAATCTACTGCTGCCAGTGTCTATCAGCTACACGGTTTTGTCTACCTAAACTAGCACCATTGTCATTTGGTGGAATTCGTTCATTGTTTTGGTTGATCGTTGCATTTAAGTCGATTAATTCCTCTAAATTCCTCCTCGACATACGGTCACGTCGGTCATTCGCGGTCGTATTATACCCAGGCCCAAATTGTCGGTGCATTTCTTCGCCAGGGAAAATAATTCAATTAACGATAATATACCTCTGTTTGACAAAAAACCGAATACTTCACGACGACGGAAAACGATTAACAATGAATCACAGAACAATACACAATGACAATAACAATAATAATAGAATTTCTTATAAATAAACTGATGTGTCCATTCCAAATGTACTGGCTTATATTATATTTGTTAATTTACATATGTTCTGTTCAGTTGTTATTGTTTATATGATGATTCAGTTACATTATAGAATTGTGATTAAATAAAGAAAACTTGAGTTACTGCATTAAAATGTTACATTACTAAAATATCTATCAATGGCGACGAGAATAATGGAAGATTTAGAAAAAATAGCAGAAGATGTAAATAAAGTTAAAAAATTGAAATCATTGCGAAGAACAGTCAAGTTTCAGCTTGGAAATGTAAAGAAGTATGTGGACAAAGGATCATTTTCTATCAATGAAATCCAAACTAGACTTGAATTGTTAGCTGAGATTAAATCAAAGTATGACCTAATTTAAGACAAGATCGACTTCTATACAGAAGAAGAAGATTTAGAAAACGAGCTAACTTACAGGGAAAGTATTGAAAACATGTTGATTGATACAAAAGCAAGATTAATGGATGCCCAATTACTTCATATGCCAAGTATTCAACATAGCTCTATTCCCAATCAAAATAGTTGCACCACTGAAAATCTACAAGCTAATACACCGATTCCAGTTCTTCCTACTTCAAATTTGAGCTTTACTCCTTACGATGAAAGGGAAAACTTTTCTAATTTTGCCAGAAGACTGGAGGTTTTTATGACTTTAAAAGGTATAAATGATCCTAAGTTAAAAACTTTTACACTTTTACATGCCTTGACACCTCTTCTACATCAGAAACTATACGACCTATGTACACCAGACAATCCTATAAATAAAGAGTATGGGGAGCTTGTGACCTTGCTTGACAACTTTCTAGATCCTAAAAAAAGTATTTTGGCTTTACAACACACATTTATTAGTCGAATACAGGAAGAAGGAGAATCTATTTCAAACTTTTCTACAGAACTAAAAAGGTTGTCAACTAATTGTAAATTCAATTGCGAAGCTTGTGGAAAATCTGTATTAGACATGCTTTTACGACTACAACTCATACGTGGACTTAATCACAAAGACATTAAAACTCAGCTTTTACAGAAATGTGACCACTACACACTACTACGATGGAACTTTAAAAATTTGAAAGTACTTTGATATGTCAAAAGAGTGGAAACGTAGACATAAATCAAGTAAAGTTTAAAGCTAGAAATAATATTACATCCAATGAACAAATTCACAGACCTAGAACAAAATCATACAACACAGGATCTTATACAAGTACTGGTAATAAATTTCGTGTAACAGATTTTGAGTCACTAAAAGGAAAATGCTACCGATGTGGGAATATATACCATAAAGCAAATGTTTGTCCAATGATTGATGAAACCTGTAACACCTGTGGAAAGATCGGACACATTTCAAGAGTATGCCTTAGTAAACATAAAAACAGTAAAGGGCAAGTTCATTACACTGAAAATAATGACATTTCTGAAGACAATATCCATGAAATTAATTTACTGTCTGACAAAAAGAGAGATGACAAATTTCACATTGATATAAAATTGGAAGGTAAAACTAAAAACGTTACTTTTGAGTTGGATACTGGAGCATCACTTACATCGATTTCTTATGAAGACTACAAAAGACTAATTCCTTCCAAACGACTTTACAAGACTGGTGTAGAGCTGCGCACCTACACAGGGGAGATCATAAAACCTAAGGGGGTAACATACGTAAAATGTGACTATAAGGGACAGTGTTTCATGGGAAAAATCTTTGTCATTAATCAACATGTCGATAGGATTTTTGGGCGTGAATGGATGAGAGAAATAAAACTAGAATGGGGAGAAATAAAATCTATACACATGAATGAAACAAGGAAGCCGGAGCTGGATTCATTACTTGCAAAATATGAAGGTTTATTTGACAAAAACATAGGGTGTATTCCAAACTTTGAAGCAAAACTTAACTTGAAGGACAACTCAAGACCTATATACATAAGGGCCAGACAGGTTCCATATGCCATAAGGACAAAAGTTGAAAATGAACTCAGCCGTCTGGAAACCCAAAAGATTATCACCAAGGTAGACAACTCGGAATGGGGAACGCCTATTGTACCTGTCATAAAACCCAATGGTGACATTCGTATCTGCGCTGATTTTAAAGTTACTTTGAACAAAGTCGTGAAAGACGAGAAATACCCAATTCCGAGGATTGAAGACATTTTTTCTACAATGAGTGGAGGCAAATACTTCTGTTCTCTTGATATAAGCAATGCTTATTTACATATGAAAATGGATGAAGAGAGTAGCAAAATGCAAACACTAAGTACTCATAAAGGGTTGTTCAAAGTAAATAGACTGATGTTTGGGGTTAAGGTTGCTCCTTCCCTGTGGCAAAAATTCATGGATTCCTTACTACAAGGTATGGATGGCGTACAATGTTTTTTAGACGACATTTTAGTCCAGGGGTCAACTTACGAAGAAACTCTTCTGAGATTAGAGAAGGTATTAGAAGTTCTACAGAAGCACAACTTACATTTGAATGGAGACAAATGTAAGTTTTTTGAAAAAAGTATCAAATACCTCGGGCACATTATTGATGAAAAAGGTCTACACAAAAGTCCTGAGAAAACTGTAGCGATTCAAAATGCTAGAAGACCTACAAATGTAAGTGAATTGAAGACATTTTTAGACTTGGCCACGTACTACAGCAAATTTATACAAAACTACTCAACTAAAGTATATCCTTTGACAAGATTACTTACAAAAAATGCTAAGTTCATCTGGAGCTCTGATTGTGAAAATAGCTTTCAAAAAGTCAAAGAAGAAATAACAAGTGAACAAATTTTAACTCATTTTGACCCCAATCTGACGGTTACTCTTGCAACAGATGCATCACCTATAGGACTCGGAGCAGTTCTTTCTCACAGACTAGAAAATGGTACAGAAAAACCTATTGCATTTGCATCACGCACTCTGACAAAAAGTGAAGTAAAATACAGTCAGATTGATAAAGAAGCTGCAGCTATTTATTTTGGACTAAAGAAATTCTTCCCATACATATATGGACGAAAGTTTGTCTTGATAACCGATCATAAACCCCTTGTGTCCATATTCGATCCTCAAAAGACATTACCTACTATGGCAGCAACTAGAATCTTCAATTACGCTCATTTTCTTTCAGGGTTTGACTATACAGTTGAATTTAGAGGAACAGAAAAACACGGCAATGCAGACTTTTTGTCCAGATTTCCACATGAAAAGTCGCTACCAAACTCAATTGATGATTATTCTGTCTTTCAAATCAACCAATTAGAAACACTCCCAGTTACAAAACAACAGATTGCAGATGAATCACTGAAGGAAGAACACCTTAAAACCATCATTCAACATTTAGAAGAAGGAAAGAGCCTTGAGAATCTTGGATACAATGATTATGAATTTACATTACAAGACGGATGTTTATTTAAAGGTAATAGAGTTGTCGTTCCAAAAAATTTGAAATCAAAAGTACTTACAGAAATTCATTTTGGTCACTTGGGAATAGTTAAAATGAAGGCTTTAGCGAGAAGCTACTGCTATTGGCAAGGCATCGATCATGATATTGAACATCTGGCTAAGACTTGTAAACAATGTTGTTTAAAACAAAACAAACCACCTCAAACGACTCCTCATCCATGGCAAACCCCTGATGGTCCCTGGCAAAGAATACATATAGATTTTGCTGGGCCTTGTTTTGGAAAAAATTATTTTTTTATTGTTGTTGACGCTTACACAAGATGGGTCGAAGTATTTCAAACAAAAAATACTTCTTCTGACTGGTGTGTCACAAAATTAAGACGATTGTTTTCTACATTTGGAATTCCACTTACTTTAGTGTCAGATAATGGCAGACAATTTTGTGGACATACTTTTGAAACATTTTTGAAAAACTACGGTGTGTTACACAAGACAAGTGCTCCATTCCACCCTTCTTCCAACGGTCAAGCGGAGAGATTTGTCCAAACTATAAAGAAAGGTCTACAAGCCATGAAAGATGAAGGAGGGGATATGGAAATTAAGTTACAGAGATTCTTGATGCAAACGAGACAATCAAGAAACTCCACTGGATCAAATTCTTACTTCCTAATGTTTCAGAGAAATGTGAGAACGAGACTAGATTTGATGATAACAAATAACACACCTTCAAACAGTGACTTTAAATGTGCAAAGGGAATAA